CACTCACTCTTATTCATCTGTATGCAGGTAAAGTGTCCTTGTCCCTTTAAATGTCTTAAACTCGTGCTCTGTCTGTATTACAGGGTTACCAGATTTCACTCAAGAGCTCCAAAGACCCGATCGACGTGTTTCTGTGTCCTGAGGACAGTTCTGGAGTCTGTAGTCCAGTCACTGATTGTAGTCCAGAGAAATCGTCCAATCAGAGCCCCCCGCAGGCTCATCCCATCTCACAGGAAGTGACATCATCAACGCCGGCTACTCTCCCCAGTTCCTCCCCTTTACCTCTGGGTGCAGACTCAGGTTAGCATGATTGTTTAAGCATGTAATAGCCCTATTCGGACGGGACTAGTTTTAAATGGAGAGGTGGGGTGAAAGTAATTATTACCACAGCTTCTCAGTGATTTCAGTCCCGTCCGAATGCGCCGTCTCAGTAATAATTACGGACAATGTCAGTAAAGATTACGACGACTTTTACCTTCTGTAAAAAGGTCTGGAGAAATACCTCAGGTAATGCTAATCCCGTCCGAATAGACCAGCTGTAAATATGTACGTAAATATTCCGCAGTTTTCGGTTTAAAAGTAGTTTTCCACACACCATTCAGATCAAAAAGAAGGTTGAAAGCCACGAAACTTCTTTTGGCTTTAGGTAAGTGCCTATTACCAACAGACTTTAATTTAATAAATCATTTGAGTGTGTATATATATATATATATATATATACATATATATACTGTGTGTGTATATATATATATGTGTACACACACACAAAAAAGAAACAATTTTTACTCAGAAATTGCAGAAAGTAACTGAATTAAATGTAAAATTTTGAATAATTAAAAATCTTTTAAAAAATTTTATTTGAATAATTTTATATTATATTATTACATATTACTGATTATTATTATATACTGCATACTGTATAAATATTATATGGCTATTGGTTAGCCTGCTTTCAAGATATTGTTAAAAATTAATCAACTCTTTTTTTTGTTATGAAAATATATGTATTCTCACAATTTATATAAGATCAAAACTATGCATAATAATAATTTTTTAAAAAGAATTGAAAAAAAAAAAAAAGCTTTTTAA